ACAGGTTTGGGCATCGATGCTGGCATCGATGCCGACATCGATGCCGGCATCGATGCCCAAAGCCATGGTGTTTGGGCCAGCCGGCCCAACACGGTTTCCCTATTTTTTTTTCTTTTTTTTTTGGGCATGTTATTGTGGGCCTATAAAAAAATTTCTTTTTTTAATATATTTTTTGGGCCTTTGATTTTTGGTTTAAATTTTTTCTTTTTCTTTCTTTTATATTTTTTCCTTTTGGGCCTGTTATTGTGGGCCTGTAATTATTCTACATTGTTTGTTTTTTTAAACCTTTTTAGGATTTTCTATCTCGACAGCCCCATGTGAGAAAACTTATTTTACAATAAATGGACCTGTCCATCTTGATCTCAATTTCCTAGGAAAAGATGCAATTTTCAATTGTACAATAAAACTTTCTGTCCTAGAGAGAAATTTTTTCGTAAAATTGATTTGTCATGAAAAATCTTGGTTTTTTCTTTATAAATTTTTGAGTTTATATATGCATCATTTCGAATTTCTTCTAACTTATTTATTTGGAGCAATCTGTTCTTACCTGCTGAGTCAAAATTTAACTGTTTTATTACCCACATTGCACGATGCTCTAACTCCACTAGTAAGTGGTAAGCTTTCCCAAACACTAATCTGTATGGTAACATCCCCAAATTAGCCTTGAAAACTGTTCTATATGCCCACAGAGCATCACATAATTTTACAGACCAATCTTTTCTGTTATGATTAACTGTTTTTCTAAGATTTGTTTGATCTGCCTGTTTGTGACCTCTACTTGTCCACTGGTTTGGGGATGATAAGAAGTTGACAATTTGTGTGTGATGGAATATTTTCTCATCAAAGCCTCAAAAGAACGGTTACAGAAATGTGTACCGTTGTCACTGATGATCGTTCGGGGTACTCCAAACCGTGCAAAAATGTTCTCTTTCAAAAACTTAACAACGACCTTGTTATCATTAGTTTTGCAAGCTACCGCATCAACCTATTTTGACATGTATTCGACAGCTACTAGAATGTAAACATTTCCAAAGGAATTTGGAAATGGTCCCATAAAATCGATACCCCACAGATCAAAAAGTTTAACAGATAAGATGACTTTAAGGGCATCATATTTCTTCTAGTGACTTTCCCTAAAAGCTGATATCGGTTACAAGTTTTGCAAAACTCATATGAATCCTTAAAAAGACTGGGCCAGTATAGCCCAGATTGAAGAATTTTTTCAGCTATTTTTCTTGGGCCAAAGTGACCCCCACATGCTTGCTCATGACACAAGGATAGAACACTCCTAGTTTCTTTAGTGGGAACACACCTCCTAAAGATCTGATCAGGACAGTATTTGAACAGATATGCATCATCCCAGTAAAAGTATTTTACTTGGGAGAGAAATTGGGATCTATCCTGTTTGGACCAATGAGAAGGGATCTGGTTCATGACTATGTAGTTAACAATGTTGGCGAACCATAGAACAGATTGGATTTTTAGGAGTTCTTCATCTAGAAAATGTTCGTTGATCAGGACGATTGATGTTGGTGCATTTGGGAGTCGAGAGAGGTGATCTGCTACGGGGTTCCTTGTTCCCCTTCTTTCAAGAATTTGGATGCCAAACTCTTGAAGTAGGAGAATCCATCTAATGAGCCATGCTTTAGCATCCTTTTTAGTTAAAAGATACTTTAGTGCGGCATGATCTTTGAAAACTTTGGTTAGGGAACCGATGAGGTAGGACCTAAATTTTTCTAAAGCAAAGACTACAGCTAAAAACTCTTTTTCTGTGATAGAGTAATTTTGCTGGGCATCATTCAGAGTCCTACTGGTGTAGTAGATCATATGCGGTTTTTTTATCAAACCATTATCCTAAAATAGCACCAATCGTAGAATCAGATGCATCACACATCAGTTCGAAGGGTAAGGTCTAGTCCGGTGCATTAATGATAGGAGCTGTGGTTAGCTCCTTTTTTAGATATTCAAAAGCTTTGAGGCAGTCAGGAGAGAAGACAAATGATGTATCCTTGGCTAAGAGATTGGTCAAGGGTCTAGCAATTTTGCTAAAATCCTTGATG